GTCCATTTGGAATGGACACAAATTCCCATCTGACATATGTCCATTCCGAATGGACATAAATTCCAAATGGACATACATACCTGGACAACCCAAAGGGCTACATTTGTAGACTTCAATGTAGTAGACTGATGGAGGTTCCATACAATGCAGAAAATTTTTCTGACGTTTTGGAAATCCTAGCATCGGCTCTGAATGTAAAGGTTAGATTCATGCTTTTCTTTTGATGATTATGTACAGTAGTGTATGTGCTAATATAAGCTGACATATTCAGGCTATGATTCGAGAGACGATGAATGCATTAAACACCGAGAGGTCGACCTCGTAATAAAGGCTAACTTGCCAATTCTTTTTCCTCCTGTGGAAATTGTCAATCGATAATAAATTTATTTATAACATCAGCAATGATGGTAGCAAGAAACGTAGACGAGGAGATAAATTGTTTTCAGAAAAATTATTGTCAGACAATTTTAATAATTTTAACTTGCTGGCCTTGCCGTTCCAATTGTTCGGCAGTATCTATGTATCCATTCTCTATTCTGGCTGGCGGGAGAATTAAAGTCAGTTGAGAGCAATGTGATTAAATCTAAGATTGTCAGAAGACTTCTGTCCAAGACACATGCTCTGTATAGGCATACTTGATCCGATGTTCATGGTCTGATTTGAAGTAGATGACTATCTGCTGTTTGCACAGAAATGAGAGATGGAGGGAGAGTTATGAACTAGTGTTGTCTTGTAGCTTCCATGTGGCAGACAAGAATATGATCGATCTTTGAATTATCAGCTTTCCCTTTGACACTGCTTGACATTGAACAGTCCTGTTTGAACCATCTACCTTTGAACCCACATTTCGGTAATTCTTTCTCCATATTAGTCCATGGGTATATAGGAACGATGAAAAGGTTATTGACGGGTCACAATCTGCATCAACCAATCCCCATGTTATCCATTTTCATAACGAGTATATCTTTCAATAAAACGCATTTTCCTTTGGTAAAGCTGGCACAGTCATTGATGAGGACGAAAGGTCGGTTACGAAACACTAAAACGGTTACTGTCACGGTTAGATTTTAATAACCGTTGTCATTTAATGGATAGTGTTCTATTCGAATGGATATAGCTTCGCTGGAGTGAGTTGACTGACCAGATCGAACAGACGTGGTCTCGTGGTCTTGAAAAGGATCAACAGTAAAAAAGTGAGTAATCAAAGCGAGGATGAACGAGGGGCTCTCGAAATCAAATTATACTTCTTCTTTTTTCTGCATTACTTACCCTCAGATTTTCTCCAACAGTTTTAATTTGTGCCATGTCGGCCGTTCTGGTTGTCCTTTGGCCGTGCCGTGTCAGTACTTCTAACATAATATTATTTCTGGATTCGCACGAAGTTCACAATCTGTATTGCATATTTCGATTTGCCCCCATGAAGCCTTGTAATAATTTAGTGTGGACGCATTTTCGGTAGTGTGCTACGAAAAGAAAATGAAATCATAAAGCACATGAGCATTGTGGATAACCAAATATTGGTCTCCATTTATTAATCACAGTTAGCATTCTTACATTGTAGATGATAAAGATATCAAATATGATGTCCGAATCTTTCTTTATCAAAATGGCTTTTGGTAAGCCATCACATAAGCACTCTGTTTCGCCGAACACTTTAGGATTCGACGATTTACATCCAATCTCCAAACCAACCCACTCCTCAACAAATAGTAAAACCGCAAGTCATTTCGACAGCAGATGACGACTTGGATCTCCTTGGATTCTCATCGTCTTCGACGCGAAAACTCCACAGCCTAAGCCCGCAAGATCTTCTGTATGTGAATGTTTTATTTTGTGTATGTGTCTGTGTACATACTCTAACCACGTTTTGCTTTCTAAATGACATAGGCAAAGTAAGATAAATCTCTTTAGTGGAGAAGCCTCTAATGAACCAAACGATCATTTGTTGCACAGATAGTGGATACGGGCTTTCCTGTTACGACTACTGGAGTAGATATATCGTCAATAGAAGTTGTACGGTCTTGTTGAATATTACTGAAAAAAGAAACGCTAGGGTTATCTACAAGTGTCCCCAGATCAAGAAAAGAAAACAGAGAACGAGCGGTGAGGTTCTAGAAAAGAATTCCATTTTAAAGACTAGTCCGCTTACCACAAAGAATGCGGATTGATGCCGTGTAGAATGTAAAAATGGATATCGTGCGTCATGTCTTAAGCGCAGTTTTCATACGATCATAACCGAAACTTTCTTTGACTAGTGTGATTACAAATGCTGGCAGCAGGAAAGAAGCACCATATGGATAGAGAACGCGCCTAAAAATAAGCCTGCCCCAATATTCATCGATGACTCGCATGGCATGAAACCCGGCTGTTATAACTGCACTCACGTTAGTGGATTGAAGGAATGCGGTACTTAATTGTAACGCTCTCCGCAAACCGTGAAATACTCTGGGCAATGCGATCATCACGGGCCAATTGAAACCTCACCAAGGCACGCTTGTAACGAGACTAACGGCCAATTGCGGTTGATATCCACTAGTACAGCGTCTTCCCCTCCAACGAGAGGTGGTACTGGTACGAAAGCTTCGGCTTCACAGTCTCAGACATCATATTAATATTAGGTTTAAACATAATTCGTGTCATGTCCGTCTTCTTCAGAGATATATTTGTTCATTTACAGTTTTTGGTAGAGCACTCGGGGAGAAAATACCTACTATAAATATGATAGGGAATACTGATCCTGGAAAAGAAGTTAAGCGTTACACACGAATCTGTTATTAGTGTTGAGAATGTTTTGTACTTGAAAACTTCTTATTCGAACGATGTCCTTAGTTCCAGGGGTTAATAATCCAGCGATTGACAACTTGGTT